CAAATTCTGCTGTATCTAATTTCATAAAAGATTTGTACTACTAAATTTAAAAATGCAGATTAACATCAATCCAGTAACAATAGGTGATTTCAAAACTCAACATTCTATATTAATCAAGGCAAGTCATTTGAACAAAAATTAAACAGAAAAACAAGAGAACTAATTGACATTATATATCAAATGACTAATATATGTCTGTAGAATATTCTAAACCAAAACAAAAGAAAGCGTGTTCTCTTATCAGCACACACAGGATTGAAAATTTCTAAGATAGACAAAATTCTAGGACACAATGATGTGGGAGTGTCATATATCAATCTGTTGATTTCATTGGTTAAGCAATAAAGAAACTGCTTGGCCCTGATAGGTTAAAACATAGGTGGGAGGAGTAAACAGAACAGAATGCTGGGAGGAAGAGGAAGTGAGCTCAGAGACGCCATGCTCCCCCCTCTCCCGGGCACACACGATGAAGCTCCATCCCAGGATGGACGTAGGCTAGAATCTCTCTGGTAAGCCACCTCATGGGCTACACAGATGATTAGAAATGGGCTAAATTAATATGTGAGAATTAGCCTTGAAGAGGCTAGATAGAAATGGGCCAAGCAGTGTTTAAAAGAATGCAGTGTCCATGTAATTATTTTGGGGTATAAGCTAGCCAGGCAGCCGGGGTGCTGGGGACGCAGCCCCGCCGCTCATATTACAACAACACAAAACAAATTTGTGCAAATTCAAAAAGACTGAAATCACTCCTTTTATCCTACATAACTGCAAAGTAATAAAACTTAAAACTGATAGCAAAGCAATCTCCAATAAATACATAATGTCATAGAAATTAAGCAACTCATTACTGAATAATGACTAGGTTAAAAAAGAACTCTAGAAAGAAATTTTAAAAATTACTAAAAAGTATGAAATGAAAACACAACCACTACAAATAAGAAGAAAATATGTAGCTTTAAGTGGAGGATTAATGACCTAAAGGCTCTGCTGAACTGGAAAGCTCTGGACCCGACTTCATCTATAAAACCTGTTGAGTGTTAGGATCCAGGAAGTTTCCCTCTGTTGGTATCTACTACCTTGAGCAGGGAAACTGATTTGAGGATGGAATCTTTCACCCCTTTCCTCCCACAAAACCCCAAGCTTGCTGTGCAACATTTGTAGTCTCAACACCAGTGGTGACAAGAGAAAACTTCAATTATACTGAGCAATGATTTAATTTCTTTCTCTCCCTTTCATCCCTAGTGTACCCAAGCACTTTGACATCATGCCTAGGCACAGCCTTTCCCATTAACTACAAAAGACTACATGGGTACACACTTAAACACAACAGTTGAAAAAAGATGAGTGACTGACCTCTCAGGTTGACTGTTCCAAAATTTAGACCCTAACTAAACCTCAGGGCACATTCTGTGCCTCTCCCCTCTCATCCCAGCACCGGGAAAGCAGCTGAACTCTGCCTCCACCTGTGGTGGAACTCTACTGCTCTGGGGCAGTCCCCAACAGCATGGAAGCAGGTGAGATAACAGCCAATATCAAACTAAGTAGAGAAAACCAGTAAGTGTTTCTCTTATTCTTTAAAAAATATCCCTTGGGGTCCCCCTGCCCTGCAGCAAACTCCAGCGGGTGCGCAAGCGACTACAGTCGGCAGCGGTGGCGGCGGGTCAGACATATAAACACAGGAAATAGCCATAAATGTTTATTAAAAAGGGGAAGGGAGAGAGAGAGAGAGAGAGAGAGAGAGAGAGAGAGAGAGAAGGAGAGAGGGAGAGAGAGAGAGAGAGGAGAAGAGAGAGAGAAAAGAAGGGAGAGAGAGGAAAGAGAGAGGCAAAAGCCCCGTGTGAGAGGAAAAGCAGGAAGAGAGGTGGCAAGGGGGAGGTCAGGAGTTAAAAGGAGTGGGCGTGGCTAGGGCAGGGACCAAAAGAATAACATTTTCCACTAAAATCAGGAACAAGAAATGGATATCTGCTCTTTTGATACCTGCTTATTATAGTATTTGAAGTCTTAGATTGAACAACAACAAAAAGAAACTTCTATAAATTCAATGAAATGAACCTCAACATCCAGCACAAGTCTTCACAAAAAGAAATAAAGAAAAATGTTCAAATTCACATAGAAACACTTGCAAAAATAGAAAAAAACAATAAAAGAAAACAGAATAGCTAAAATAATCCTGCATGATAAATAAAACCCTGGAGACATCACAATCACATATTTAAGACTGTGTTACAGAGCTATAATAACCAAAACAGCAACAATATTTGTTAGAATAGAATTGAAGATGAAGACATTATTTCATAAACCAAGTGTTACATTATTTTTTAAATGAGGTTCAAAAGTTGTACTGTAGAAAATATATCTTTTAAAATGGTGCTGATCAAATTGGGTAGTTATATGCAGAAAATATGAAGACATCCTATACCTATAACCGAGCATAAAACACAGTAAAAAATATGGATCAAGAACTTCAGTGCAGCCAGGTGGTGGTGGCGCATGCCTTTAATGCCAGTACTCATGAGGCAGAGGCAGGTGGATCTCAGTGAGTTTGAGGTCAGCCTGGTCTACAAGAGCTAGTTCCAGGGCAGACTCCAAAAGCCACAGTGAAACCCTGTCTCAAAAAACCAAAACCAAAAAAAAAAAAAAAAAAAAAAAAAAAAAAAAAAAAAATCAGTGCAAAATCATATATCCTGAACCTGATGGAAGATAAAGTATAGAAATGAAATCATTGCAGCATCACTTTTCATTTATGATGACCATGTAGTGCATGACTTTGACAATGAAGATTTCGACATCTGCCAATAAGTGAGCAATGAAGAGCTGAGTCACTTATCCCTTTTAGGAAAAGCTTTCTTTGCTGTAGCCAAGTCTCTGATGAGCATCAGAACCACAGGGGAGATGTATATGTGGATATATTTTCATTTTTGTATAATCTGAGCACAAGATGATTATACAAAACCCTCTCATCCTATAGTTCTGACATAATGGTGGTAGTTCTACTTTAATTGCCTGAAATTTATACCTACATGTTAATTGTAGGATGTGAGATCAAGGATAAGGTCATGCCTGTGTTTTACAGATGATTGTCCCCATGCCTAATCCCCTCATCAATCGTCTTAGTTACACTGAAATGAGAATTGTCATGTACAGGTGTGAAACACAGGCATTTTTTAAAATCTTGTTATTCAGAAAGAAATTAAGTTTTAACTAGCTCAACACAAATGTTTCAGAGTTTTGTGGATGTGTTGCACAAATGAAAGACCTGTTCTTCTAGACACCAACTAGACTGCTCTAGAATGCATTGATAGAGTACATCGTTATTGGTAAGGTCCTGAGCTCAGTTCTTGTTACAAGCCACAATATCATACAGTAATTGCTCAATCATCTTTTTTGATTGACTTATCAAAGCCAATGGTTTTGGTAAATGTTTTTAAACTAAGAGGTAAGGAATTTGTTGTCATTACTTCATGAATGAGTGATTGTCCTTTAGTGTAGATTTTGTTGCAGCTAACTTCCTTTCTGTTACATATTTGGGAATTAGTTCCATATTTCACAACAGTTTCCCATCGTCAGACCTTGTTCTCTCTTAGGTAAATGCGGTGGAAATCGTACTCCTTGCAGTTATCTTTATCAGCAGGCATAACAGTGCTTAGGGTCCAGGCATAGAACATTGCTTGTCCAAGCTGCCTCTCTGGTTTTACCTCTCTCTAAAGATTCTTAACTCATTAAGCTCACCTTCACCTCAGTTTACTGATGACTTTAGTTCAGGAAATTTATAGTTTGTGTTTTCATCTCAAGGACAGCAGAAGAGATCTCGGCCACAGACTCACAATGCCCATGATCACAATGGCTGAAAACAGCATACCCCGGTACTGATAATTTAGAGACCTGTGTCTCTTCTTCACTATGGGACATAGTCCGGTAGAAACTGCAGCCTCTGGTGTATGTGCTAATCCGATCAAGGGCCATGATTTCAGCCTGACTGTTTATGTAGGTTGCCTAGTTTGTTGGCAGCCTCTGTGCTTGCTGGGAGAAAAGAAGCAGAAGACTGATTTAAGAAATCTGTGCCCCATTCATAATTTTACTGAACATGAACGTTTTAAGTTTTATCTACCACCGATAAATGGAGTTTACTTAACTAACCTTCCTTTTGAGAATTCCCTGATGTTTTAATTCCTTTCTTAACTTTCTCCATTTAGGAGCTCACCAGATATACACTAGCCACTCCTGTGAACCTTCCTCCCTCCCTCTCCCTTCCTCCCCCTCTCTCCTCCTCTCTCTTTGTGTGTGTGTGTGTGTGTGTGTGTGTGTGTGTGTGTGTGTGTGTGTGTTTATGTGAAAACCCTTATCTGACTTTTATGGGGCAAAAGATTTCCAGTCCTGGAATCTGCTAGGGCTTTGCTAGTTTTAAGGGTATGTATGACTGGGAACATTTGTAACAGGTAGAAGGGTTAAGATCTAAGAACAGTGTAGAACAAGAGAGAACAAGATGTAACAATGAGAAATGATAAATTGAAGAGAAAATAATAAATACATACAGACAAACAATTCCTGTTTTGAGTAGAATTTTTACCCCTCAGATCTTTGCCCTCAGATTTTTAGCCCCCCCCCCCCCTTTAGCTCATTCTGGGATCTTTAATTGAACCCTGAATGGAAGCTTTAGCTAGAACTTTTAAGACTCCCCATGGGTTCTCCACCATCACAAAATAAGAACTAAAAGTACACTTGTGAGCATACTATTTATCTGTTGAAGAACCTATGTGAAATCAATTAATTTTTTTTCTGGGAACACATTGTTGTTTTCTGTCTCTACATATTTTGTTTTGTTTAGGACAGAGTTTCTCTGTGTAGATGCATAGTCCTGGAATTAACTTTGTAGATGAGATCAGCCTCACTCACTTTGTAGATCCGCCTGCCTGTGCTTCCCAAGTGAGTGTTGGAATGAAAAGCATTCACCACCATGCCTGGCTACTTTGTTGTGTTCTCACATTTCCAATGATCATATTTTAAAATTGTTCTAATCTTATTTTATTAATGACACAATTCAATGTATGGGAAAAAATATTATTTTCAAAATAGATTTTGAAGTCAGTGATATTGAGGCCATATATTAGACGATGTTATTATAATCTCAAAATAAAAAGAGATAATTCAAAAAACTTAAAGAAACTATCTTATGTAAATCACTCCCATAACCCTACTGGATTTTTGGAAACTATAACTATACTTTTATCCAAGCCATAATCTATGAGAACAGTGTTACTCAGGTGTACTACATTTTAAAGAGCTTAATGATTGTAAATTTACCTAGAACATGAGTGAACATAATGGAACAAACTTCAAGCTATATCAAATCAGCTTTAACAGTGTAGACTCACTAGAACAAGAAAATTCATTTAATGTCATTAATCAGGTATTGATATGTTGAAAGAGCTGATTCTGTAGCGGGAGCTGCGGGCTGAGTTCCTGTCACCCAGCTCCCGGCCGCCTAGCTAGCTTATGCCCCGAAATAACAACACACAAACTGTATTCTTTTAAAAATTGCTTGGCCCATTTCTATTAATGTGTGTAGCACCCCAAGGTGCACTTACCGGGAGTATTCTAGCCTACATCCATCCTGGGTCAGAGCTTCATCGCATCTGGCTCTGAGAGGACCTGCATGACTTTTGAGCTCACTTCCTCTTCCTCCCAGCATTTTGTTCTGTTTACTCCACCCACCTATGTTCTAACCTACCAGGGTCAAGGCAGTTTCTTTATTTAACCAATGACCTTCCTCCATCAGTGATAAGGTCTTGATTTATATATTTGCTTTTGACAGGACTAAAAAAGGAAAGTCTATAGTGAGTAAATTAGAAATGGTGATACCTCCCTCACGAAGAAGATGGCAAAGCAGAAATTCAAGGATCCATGAAATAGGAATGCTAGTGCCATTTGTCATGTAAATCCTACTATTCAACCTCACAGAGATTGGATGACCTACTTTTGATAAAAATTTTGAGAAAGATAGCCTTGACCAAGAGGATGGACCTTGAACATTTCTGTTATCAAACTTTATATTAGTGGGAACTTAAGGAAGAAAAATATCACAGAACCAGAATATATCAATGAAAGATTTTTAATGGCTTTTAGGTGGAAAGGGTCAATTGCAAATATTCAGCTCCAAAAGTCTTAGATTGTATAACATAATTCATTAGTACTGAGTTGGCATTGGAAAAACCAAATGTGTGTTTTAACAGTAGTACAACTATAACCTAGACTGGGTAAGGTTTCTCCATTCTAGAGTATTTTTTTTTCTTCTCTTTCAAGGCCACCCCATAAATGACAGCTGTTTTATTCTTCATGATTTGAATGTTCTATGTAAAATTTACAGTCAATAATTTTCTGATTTAAATCAAAATATATTTTTGTCTTCTACATGTATTTTTCTATTGAACAATACCAGAATAGCATCTTTCATTTGAGCATTTCTCAAGGTATAGATTAAAGGGTTTAACATGGGAGTTATCATTGTGTAAAACACAGCAACTGCCTTATCAATAGGTAAAGTAGTTGCAGGTCTCAAATAAACAAATATGGAGGGCACAAAGAATAAAACAACCACTGTGATGTGGGAGATGCAAGTGGAGAAAGCTTTGCGTCTCCCTTCTGCACTGTGGTTTCTTAATGAGTACAGGATAACTGTGTAGGAGCCCAGAAGAAGGAGAAATAATAAAAGACAGATAAACCCACTGTTGGCAGCAACAAAGAGCCCCAGAATGTGGGTATCAGTGCAAAGCAGTTCAAGCAAAGGGTTAAGATCACACATAAAATGATCTATGACATTAGGGCCACAGAAAGGTAAATCAATAATGAACAGGATCTGTATGATTCCATGAAGAAACCCTCCCATCCATGACACCCCCACTAGCAGGTTACATACTGCTCGGTTCATGATGGTTACATAGTGCAGGGGCTTGCAGATGGCCACATAGCGATCATAAGCCATTGTAGTTAGCAGGATGACTTCAGCACCTGCAAAGAAATGTTCTCCAAAGACTTGGGTCATGCATCCATTGAATTGAATGGTCTTTTTATCATGAAGTGAATCAAAAATCAGTTTAGGGTTATTGACAGAAGAATAGCATGCATCAATAAAGGAGAGATAGGCAAGGAAGAAGTACATAGGGGACCTTACCAATTGATGGTATATGATGGTGACCACAATGAGCAAATTTCCAATCACAGAGACTACGTAGATAACTAAAAATACAACAAATATAATTTTCTCCATGTTTTTGTTCTGTGTGAGGCCCAGGAGAACAAATTCGGTCACATTCCTCTTTTCCATTTGTTTCATTGGAAAGTTAATCGCTCTTTATTTGCCAGAAAAAAAAATGCATCATCAACTTCCTTTAACTTCGGCATTATCATAATTAACATTTCAATGCTACTCATGTAAAAAATTTTGTGAATATTGTTATTGCTGTTTTCACATACAGAATGCAGGTCTTCATACTTTGTGTTACTCAAATTGACTCCCAGATAACTGGATTAAGATAACTGCAACGAATATAAAAAACAAAACAAAAACAACTTTTGTAAATAATGCTGGAAGAGGAGTGTTTCAAATAGGTGGGTGATCAAATTAATGGAAACAATATAAATCTAAAGCTTTTTGTTTTTAATCTTATGAGATAAGGAACCATAAAAGCTAATTGAAAATATAACACTAAAACTAACAATTTATTGTGATAAGAAGAAACTCTGGGCACCAATATCTGACTTTAGTGCCTTGGAAGAAACAGAATTGAGTTCAGTTTTAAGTCAAATCCAAAGAACGAAGTTCAGGTATTAGACTATTTGTCCTATTTTTTCATCAATTAATTAAGGTATTTTGTTTTCCATAAAGCACATAAAAATAAATAATAATTCTTTTTCAAAGAAATTACCAGGATCTGGAAAAATATTTATCTTTATTTACTTTTCCAAAATAAATATTAATAAGAAATTAAGACAACTCAATAATGGGTATAAAGGAAGTCAGAGTAATAATGAAAACTATATAATAAAGAAATAAAAGAGTTGCTATAAAATAATGCATAATAATTAATAGTATATGTGAAAGCCTTGTAAAATTTATAATAAAGTAATTCTTCTGTGTACTGCACATTATTCCTCATTTCTCTTTAAAACTTTTAATATCCTGTGTAGCTGCTTTTATTTATCTATTTTAAAGATAAGAAAATGATGCATAGGATCATGTATAAGTTCAAGGTCAATATTAAATAAACTGACAAAACATATTGTGTTTTAGTGGTACTTTCTTATAGGTATTTCTTTATTTAATCCCAGTTGTAAATGTAATTGCTGATTAATATCATTATTTTTTCTACAATTCATATAGTTATTTTATAATTATATAACATTACATATAAAACATATAATTATGTAACAGTTTTATTATGTTATATAAAATATCAGAAGAAAAATGATAACTTTCATTATTTTTATACTTAATTCTGTCTGGCAATTTTTAACAGATATTATTATTAAACTTCTTGAATTTTGCATACAAATGGATGGAAATAGAAAACACTATCCTGAGTGAGGTAAGCCAGACCCAAAAAGAGGAACATGGGATGTACTCACTCATATTTGGTTTCTAACCATAAATAAAGGACATTGAGCTTATAATTCATGCTCCTAGAGTAGCTAAATAAGAAGGTGAATCCAAAGACAAACACATAGGCATCCTCATGATTATTAACCTTCATCAGGCGATGAAAGGAGACAGAGACAGAGACCCACATGGGAGCACCAGACAGAAATCTCAAGGTCCAAATCAGGAGCAGAAGGAGACTGAGCACGAGCAAGGAACTCAGGACCGCGAGGGGTGCACCCACACACTGAGACAATGGGGATGTTTTATCGGGAACTCATCAAGGCCAGCTGGCCTAGGTCTGAAAAAGCATGGGATAAATCCGGACTTGCTGAACATAGCGGACAATGAGGAATACTGAGAATTCAAGAACAATGGCAGTGGGTTTTTGATCCTACTGCACGTACTGGCTTTGTGGGAGCCTAGGCAGTTTGGATGCTCACCTTAGGAGACCTGGATAGAGGTGGGCAGTCCTTGGGCTTCCCACAGGTCAGGGAACCCTGATTGCTCTTCCAGCAGATGAGGGAGGGGGACTTGATGGGGGGAGGGGGAGGGAAATGGGAAGCGGTTGCGGGGAGGAGGCAGAAATCCTTAATAAATAAATAAATTTAAAAATAAAAACTTCAAAATTATCATTTTATACAAATATTGGTTTATAATTTACTCTGAATGGGCTTCTAACACTTTATTATTTAATAAGATTTGGATGACAACAACTATTGTGAGCCCACAAGAATTATACAGTAAAGAAACAGCTGACACTTCTACTGATGTATCCACAGGAAGTGTATATGTGCATTCACCTGCAGGCACACATTTTCTTTGGATAAGTCACTGTCAGTAAGTCTGTACAAATCTTGTGAAATCATGGCATTTCACCCTCTGTAGTATCCCAGGAGTGTATAAACCTGACTTTTCCTGTTGGGTAACCAGAATCCTCCCCACACACCAAGAATTCCTGAAAAGGTTTTAAAAGGATTCAGTCTTTTGTAGAAGGAACAAAAAAAAAAGAAAGAAAGAAAGAAAGAAAAAAGAAAGAAAGAAACAACAAAAAAAGAAAAGGATTCAGACAAGTCCTTGTTCTCATAGCCGAAATCTACATAAAATAGTCTTCACAAACTTTATTGAGAGTAGTCACTGATAAGAAACGAGCCTCATAGAGGTATTATGTCTGTTCTAAAAGCTGACTCAGAGAGTTGTAATTCTACACTGACTAAACAAACTACTAAATTTCTGTATTTACCCTTCACTTTGGGAACAACTAACATGGGCTCATAGCTCAGAAAAATTAATTCTTATACAGTGAAAATGCTTGACTTGCTAAAAATTAGCTTCGGAGAGAAAAAAATCTCTCTTGGTCACCCTGCGGATGCAGGATCCTCAGAAGGGACTCCTTTGATCTCAACCAGCTAGATGTTAATGCAAAACAAGCCTGTTGGTAGGTTAGAATAGCTAACAATGCTGTATACCCAGCCACAGCAGAACTGCACAGCATGTCCTCTCGGAGACATAAGGTGCCTCCTTTTCAGAGCCACCGGTTTCTTGTAACTCTGTGAAAAGGCACGCTTGGTACTATTGATATCACCTATGGGACTGTTAACTTGTCTATACCCCTATATAAACTAAGAGCTTTGTGGAGATCACCCTCTCATTTTCAACCTTATTCCTTATCCCCTACCCTTACCCTTATGATTTGCCCTTCCCCTTAGGCCTTATGTTCTTGTGCTTCTTCTTCTTCTTCTTCTTCTTCTTCTTCTTCTTCTTCTTCTTCTTCTTATCCCAAGTAATAAAGAAACACGCCTAAGTAAGTTAGTTTTTTCTACACCACACATCCCATTCCCAAGCCCATTTACACTTGCTGCAAAAGTCTGAAGCCTTAGGGAGTACTGAGGCTGCTATGCAAGAGCACTCCATAAACTACATCGAGCAATTTTGTCAGTGAACATGTAGATGTTACATGACATACTTACCTTCTAAGTACTAAGAAATACATGCTGCTGGATTCTTAAATTTGTTATTGTATTTTGGCCTAACTTAAGGTCACTTTTCCCTGACATCATTGTAAAAGGGGATCCCAGAATTCTTTTGTAACCCTTTAAGAAATATTGCAGCAGTGGTCAAACATATCCATTCAAGAACTGAAAGCAGCAAGTAAGAAGCCCGTTCTCCCTCCTGTCACTCCTCTCATTTTACATTCATTACCTCGCACCTGTGAAACTGCTTCATCATCTGTCTATAAAGTGAATCCTGACTTAAAATTTCCTGTGAGAATTGGTTAAAAGGAAAAAAAAACATGCAGAAAAGTAACAAGTATAACGCTTCAAGTTATTTTTGTAAGGTGGTATATACATAACAGATAAGCTTAGTGGGTGGGCAACAACGTGGAGAAACATTTGACTCTGTCATGAACCGAAAAAGTCATGCCCAACCTTACTTTCTAAGAAACCACAGAGATGGGTCTCACAGTGAGTTGTCTGTGTTTGTATTAAAATCTAGAACTTAATAATGATGCAATTAATACTAATCTCTTTGACTTATGAGTGAGAGGTCCAACTAATCATTTTTTATCATCGTGATTTATTGTGATTATTAGTAGAAATTTCAAAGAGCAAAATAATATTTCATAAAATAGATAGGTTGATCTTATTGATTTATTTCTATTAATTTCATGATAGCTAATGAAAATAATAAAAGATATATCTGTTAAATTTTAAAAATTAGTCTGAAGAGCAAAATCTCTGTGACTGTATTTGAAAATATTGAGAGATGATTATTCCCATATGTGAAAAAAATCACAATATCTAATAAGCACGTTTGAAAAACATACCTTAACGGTTGGGGAATCATCTTGACCATAGTTGTGAGTGTTCAGTGTTCACATCAATATCACCTTCAGTGAAACTTTCCTTAGAGAAAAGAAACTTTTTCTATGAAATATATGAATACATTTGCTAAGAAACACCTTAGGTAACTTACTATCAAACAGACCTGTGTTAAGGAAGTGTCTTCATAAGAAAATTCTTCCTCCATTCCCCCCAAATTAAAATTCTTTCAGAGAAATCATAATCTTTGGTGATTGTTGGGCACTCTAGAGAAATGATTTTCTGTTTCCTGATTCTGGTTCTGCAAGATAGGAGGTAGCAAAGTTGCAAAACACATCCAAATAGATCTACTCTTGGTCAATCTTACAGTGAGAAACAACTGTGTCCTTCCTAGAAAGAGTGTTTAAAGCTGTATGCTTTCAGATTTCGGCAGTTTTATATCTGAGACTTGTCTCATAGGAATTCATTATCTCCTGTGGTAGAAAGAACGTCTCTTAAAGTCTGGTGTTCTAGAAACCTTTATTTGACACTTGCCAGGTTTTCAGCTGAAAACTAATTTCCAGTACTTGTTTTTGTTTTTATTCTATTTTCTTTATTTGAGTTTTTCTTGTTAAGAATCCGTATACCAGCAGCAATTAGCTCAAAACCTGGATGTTGCCATATTTTATCAAAACTGTCCTGTCTCTGCTACAGCCTCAAATCACACACTATTGCTGGGGTCACACACATGTGCAATCACTTCTAACTTTTCTGGTTGATGTGGAACTCATTCTTATACTACATGCTTCTAATCCTCCTGTCCCTCTATAAAACTTTTTTATTTGTTTGTTTGTTTGTTTTTGTTTTTCAAGGCAATGTTTCTCTGTA